GAGGTAATAGAGAGCCCAGGTGATGACGACATTGTAGTAGGTACACATAATGAAGGAGATGGCCACCGATGCAATTCCCACTCCTGAGGTCAGATAAAACATGCGTCAAAATAAATTTCTCCGCTATACATTTTTAACACTGGACACCAAAATTTAGTCAAAGCACCTTTTAACAGTGGGCAGACAGTAGCCAGAGCAAGTACAGGACCTCTCCTTGTGTACTGCCCCACAGTCAGCTCCATGTAAAGCAGAGGGATGCCCAACACCACCAGCATGAGCAGGTATGGCACCAGAAAGGCACCTGCCAAGAAGTAATAGTGAGTTAAGCACATTTTCAGAAAGAAGGCCAAGACTGTGGTAGTTTTATGACATCATTTAAACTTTAACTTTAGCACACATGAATTACTGTCAGGCAAAGTTTGACCCCATACAAATATTAACAATTCTGCAAAATTTGCACGTATAAAGCCAGATTATAGTATGGGTTTATGAAGCGCCATGCCTCATGTGAGAGTCACACCAAAATCCTCTTAAAAATAACAACAACAACAAAACGAAAATTAAATTTAAAAAATAGTTTGAAATCACATTCACTAACAACACAACACATACAGTCAACCTTTGGACCCCATTTTTAGTCCTGTGTGTTCAGGGATTACAGAGGGCGGCACATTACCACAGTTCTGTTCGAAGATGTAACAAATGTTTGATTTCTCACCTCCTCCACTCCGGTAGCAAAGATAGGGGAACCTCCAGACATTGCCCAGACCTACAGCACAGCCAATGCCGGCCAAAGTGAACTCTATCTGTCTGCTCCATGTTGGCCTGGTGGGCTCTTGATCTGCGTCTGCTCCTTGTGTCAACATTGTTGCTCGCCTGGGCCTAAACTCCATGGACAGCTGAGCAGGATTTAATTGTCTCTGGGTGATATAACCTCCCTTCATTAATGATTAGCTTAGCAGAAACACAGTGTATAAAAGCTCAGAGGGCTCAGAAAGAGAGGAAAGTTTGACATTTGTTAATAGGTGCATGCTTTGATTGACTGTAAAATAGAAACAGAGGTTAAAAAAAAAATGCAGAATTTTATTTTCAAAAACTGAACTACCTGAAAAACACCTAGCCAGCCAATGTATACAAATAAATCTAACTCTTATTTATGGAAGCGGATAATTGTGAGCGATCGTGGCTCAAGAGTTGGGAGTTCGCCTTGTAGTTGGAAGGTTGCCGGTTCAAGTCCCGGCTTGGACAGTCTCGGTTCTTGTGTCCTTGGGCAAGACACTTCACCCGTTGCCTACTGGTGGTGGTCAGAGGGCCCACTGGTGGGGCCCCAGGGTGGCTGTGGCTACAGTGTAGTTTGCCATCACCAGTGTGTGCATGACTGGTTGTGTAAAGTGCTTTGGGGTCCTTAGGGACTAGTAAAGCACTCTACCATTTACCACTTTATTTTTTATTTAATATCTGCATGAGCTCTTATCTTATCTCTTATCTTACTAAATAAAATATAAATAAAGTAAATAAATAAAATGTGAACAAAAAACAGTCTTCTGTGAAGTTTTTTACATGTGTAAATTATGCAGCACACGAAACAAATATTTAGGAATTTACATAATTTATTCTCAACAGTATGTGCTCTGACACAGATTTCAAATGGAGTCATGAAGGCCAAACAAATCATGTTCCTGTACACTAACCTTAACCCAGCATAGTCAGCACACAAAGCAGTGGTGACCTGAAACATATAATCATTCGCAAAAACAGCAAGCAAAATCACACAGCTTTTCAAAAAAGAACCTTCTTTCTTAAACCTGTGTGCCAGTTAAATGTTGATTGAATTCCTGTATTTTCCCATGTTACTCATGTAAAAATATATTTCTAATGTTGACATTTTAAAGAAAACATGTTCTCTACTTGTGTAAAGTGGAAACGAGCACCAAAATAGCATAGAATATACAAACATGAGTCTCCTACCAAAAGCATTTCAAGTGCTTGAACATTAAACACATGCTCTGCCGATCACAGTATAAACACTACTATGCAAGCAAGATTTATTGCATCATGTACAGACAGTTGGGGAAAGAGCTAGTGTGAAGCATCCCCCAGGGATGTGGGTTAAAGAAAACACACATCCTGCCTGCAGAGAAGGGGTGCAGCAGTAGACATAACTGGTCCACAAACCCTCAACCTGTGTGGTACAGCCAATCTGGAGGCAGGAAGATGGTGCAGTGTTAAGCAGTATTACTGCAGAGGATGGAGAACACATACACAGAAGCACAAACAGATTCTGTAAATTATTTCCTGTTGTGATGACATACAGAAAGTTTGCAAAAGCACAAACTTAAAACAGATGAAAAGTAATTCCAGGATGTCAGGCATCAAGCAGTTGCAGGTCATGCTAGACACGTTTGGTTTTCTTTTCATTTTCTTGTAATTTATTTTCTTATAATTTTTGGTTTTCAATTTTCATTCATATTCAAGAGTAGCTTTAGTTTATTTTCACTTCTGTTCTGTTAAAAAAAAATTTATTTTTCATTGTTTCAAATGTTTGTTTGTTTTTTATTGTTTAATTGTACTGGTGTCTGTGTAATTTCAATTTATCAGGTTATGTGGGCAGGCTATATACCATGCAAATGCCTAGACAGGAAAAGACGTCAGGGCTTCAACAGTAAAAAGGCAACCCTGCAGGGCAAGTTTTGGTACCATTGTACTTCAGTAATGCTCTGAGGTATTGCAACAATCTTCTGCAAGGGTGTGGCATTCATGGTATCTCTATGGTAGTTGTGTAAGGTCAGCACTGCCTGTGGCCTGTTTCTAGCCCCAAAGAGTTAGTACCCTGTGAGTCTGCCTTGTTCTTTTGTATTGCAGCATAGTCT